TATTCTGAAAGCAATTCAGAAAACTATGTTTCGTCCCATTACATGCCTGGCTTTGATCTCAAATTGAAAATCTCTGAGCCTCTTCCTCCAATCCAAAAGCAAATAAATGCTGAAAGAAAGAAAACTCTCTCCCTTCAGCACACGGGGCCTCTAAGACTGAAAAATGAAGGTGACTGTAAGAGCTCTGATGAACCTGTTTGGACAACAGACAGCAACAAATACCTGTCTCAGTGGAGGAGTTTAAGAGCACTGCAGAGATCCTCAGACAGTACAGAATATCTTGGCTTACAGAGGCCACTGTCTTTATCGCAAAACAATACCAGCCAGGCTTCCTCGCTACCTACAGCTGAAGTACTGCAGGAACAGGAGGGCAATACTTGTTACAGCTTCTAAACTTGAATTTCCTTGTATTATTTAAAAAAAAAAAAAAAAAGCAAGCAAGCAAGCAAGCAAGCACCTGAATTCTAAGAAAGATGAGGTATTTGGTAAGTATTTTTATTGCACTTGGTTTCTTTAACTTGAAGATTATTTTTAGTCGTGTGTATCTGAACAGGATCAGGGTTTGGATGAGTTTGTTTTTTTGGCTAAGTTTTTTATTTATGGAAAAATTTAATGTAAATTTTTGCTTTTCCAACCTTGATAGCTTTTGATATATATTTTTTTTTATTCCTGTGCTGTAATTAGAATATAAGCATTGCAAGTTTGATATTTCAAGATGTTCAGAAGAGCTCTGTTGTTCTCAGGCTCTTTGAATATAAACATGCCCAGTGATAATATGCATTATCGAATATTATATATATATAAAATAACAGATTTAATATTCATCTTAGTATGGCAGTTTTTAAATATAATAATAATGACCGAAGCCAAGCAAATGTCTCCCAAGTAAGTTGTTCAAGGTCTCAAAATATTCAGTGTGAATATTTTAACTCTCATTGAGCAAGTTTATATCTGAAGATTAAATTTATGACAGATAATGACATGAAGTTATTTGGCTATAAGTGTGCGAGGATAGAGGAATTCTTGATTGTATTCAGATTTCATTGTGAATGCTACTGTCGTGTATGATTATGTTATTAACAGTAAAGCTTTTCAGGTTAACAGTAGAAAACAGAGACAATGCCATTTTTGCAATAGCAGGTCAGTCTTTCAGTAACAAATGTAAATTCTAAAAAGATTTAGCTTGACATATTGGTTTCATTGTAGCTTTTTATACATATAATGAAAACCAATTATCTATGGAGAAAATTTGACTTTGTGGAATGGAACTAAATAACTTTTTAAAGGCTTCCTTAAATAGCACTAGCTAGAGGGAAGTCCAATGACATTTTTAGTTCTGAATTGTAATGACTTTGCTACATTTATAAACCATGTTGTATTCTGACTTTTATCAAAAGATTCCAAGGAAGAAAACTATACACGGCAGGTTGAAGCGACAGAGGCAGTCCTGACTGTTTTTTCTCCATCCAGCTACTTTAATTATGGCCCTTCAAAACCAGCTATTCCTGTGGATCAGCGCGTAAAGCGGTAGGTCCAAATTGGCTCTAGGTTGATGACAGTAGCTGATAAATACAAATTCCTGATAGCTAGTGAATTGTCAAATTGGAATATTTATAATGTAGTCTGACTACTTAAACCACTCTACTTCAGGACCGAGGGGAAAAACTCTGTGGATGTTCATCAGATTTGATTTGTGTTTCTAGGAAATGTCTTATTTCTAGTCTTGATATGGAACTGGGTACAGAATGGATTTAAAAGGTAAACTTTTGGAAGAGATGGTTTAATTTACCCAACAATATGTGAATGAATATATCCTCCTGTAGTAATTTATGTACTAACAGTTAGGTAGGAAAGTGTTCACACTCAGTGATGAATGGAGGGAAGTTTTGTAAAATAGGTATTGGGGATTCAGAATCTGAAACCTTACAAAAAAACTCAAACCTTTTTTTGAAGAGTGGTTTTTGTCTGCTGATGCTAGTTCTACAGTAACCAAGCGGGGGAGAGGGAGGATATTGTTAACTTCTACACATTTTCCCAACAGATCACATATCAAAAGTATAATTTGTTAGAGGAATACAAACTGGTGAAATGTATCTCTGATGCTGGTTTCCTATGTTATTATGTAGAACGTTTGTAATTATCTTGCTGAGTCTTAATCCCTGACATTTGCTTTCACAAAGAATCTGGTGGAGAATGCAATACCCTAATTATGTTTCTGTGAAAAGAGTTGAAGGAAAAAAAAAAAGTTGTACTCTTTAGGACAGTATTTTATAGAAAAGCTACTTAATGTATACTTTTTTTTTTTTTTTTTTTTTGAGGAGAAGACTAAGGATACTTTATCATCTGCAATTCCTGGTGGTTTTATATCACAATGTACAAATATAGTTGAACATATGTTAATCATAAGTTCTTTTCTAAACTACATGCTGTATGTGCTTACATCCTAAGCAAAACAGGCACTAGCTCCAGTCTAAATATTTATATGTCTTTATACGTGCTATCTTATGTTTTTAAGTATTTGCTGCAATAAATAAAGTGTAGTTACCACATTTTACATAAAAGTTTTGTTTAAAAACAAAAAAAAATTTAAAAGAATTTTAAAAGAAAATATCTCAGCGCTTTCTCATATCATATTTTATAATAGCTTTTGTTTTAAGGAAGTGAAGATCAAGAATAATAGTGAGTTAAATCTGAGTAACAGCTCATAAAGCTCTCCTTGTGTTATGTTCTTTTATATAGGTAACTAGCCACAAATAATGTTAAGCTGTAAAACTGATTTTCTATCACTGGGAGAGCTCACTTTTTGTAGATAGTTTGTCTACGAACTGAGACAAAAGGTTAATTGAGGTTACATACTTAGATACGTTACGTGTATTTCACCTCTATAACACAATTAGTTACTGAAATACCTCTTTGTATTTGGAATGCATAATTTCTTAATACAAAGCTATTTACTAAAGAATCATTAAAACTGAACCTCTGAAGGAAAATGGATACCTGATACTGGTACGTGGCTTTGTTCATGAATGTGCAACTGTGTGGGTTAGCTGAAAGAAATTACTACAGCAGTATATTCACAAGCAAAATTCTCAGGCAAAGGATTACTCTGCAGGATATATACAGTTTTCCTGAAGTTCTCCTTTTGGGAAATCAATTCAAACTGTTCAAATATCCTACGGTACATGAGACTAGATATTCAACATTGCACGCACAATGCCTGCTTTGATTAGGTAATCTGTACAATTTAAAAAAAAAAAAAAAAAAAAGGAAGGAAAAGAAGCCCTGCTTTTTCCCCCTTAAGCAACAGTCTGTGCTTGTGTGTTTTTTGTTGTTAAAAGAAAAAAAACCTTTTGTAGTGCTAATCAGTATAAACAAGCATCACCCTTTTCATAAATCAAATAATTTGTACTTTATAGCAAGATGGCTGTGATGGGTTACTTGTGATAGACTTGACTGGGAAGGAGTGTCGTCTTCCTGCTCAAAGGCAACCTTCAGTGAGTGCACAAAGTCCTCCGAAAGAATACTTTTCTCCAGTGTTGTCTCAAAACCTGGAGAATGTTCTTTACCTCATGGACACAGCCTGGGGATTGTTCTAGTAAAAACGGCAAGGTTTTTTGAGCAGGAAGTTCTGCATTCATAGTAAGTGCACGTTTCTCTGTCTTCACGCAAGGTACTCCAACTCTGTCATTATCTCGCTGTAGAAAGTTTCTGTTTCATTCTCCCATAACCTTGTGTTTTTTATATTACGTTGTTTCTTAACTGTGCTTGCATTTGTGTAGATAACAATCCAGGAGCTGACCCAACATACTCTTAATAATTCAGTGTTGGGAGATGAGTGGGAGACTTGATGCAGGGTGAAATATTCCAGAATAATACAGTGAATAAGGCCTAGTCAGAAGTTGAAATCAACTGTGACCATGCTGAGAAACTTGCACATGGTGAACATGGTGACCCATACCATGGTTTCGCAGTATGGTATTAGCGGTCCCCATTTTGCAGTGGTGTACTTGTGCTGGGTAGAGAATAAATTAGCACGTTGTTACGTGTACTCCACTGCCCTTTGGAATTAGAGCTTCACGGCCAGATTCTCAGCTGATAGCAGTTGCCACAGCTCCTCCAAAGTCAGCAGAGTTACACCAGTATCCAGCAAGAGCGAATCTGCTCACCATATATTTCCCCAGTCATTTTTAATTACCTGTCTTGTTTTAATAACAACTGTCTGTTAACAATTGCTCAAGAGAGGAGGGAAAATGTTGCAGAACTTTTAATAAAATCCTATTTTTTATCTAAGAAAACTATTAATTTTAAATATATTTTTAATTGAAAGCTTTCTTAAACTACTTAACACTGGTCACTTACATAAGTTGATCATAAAAAGTGTAATTCCATGGCCGTTTTATCCTTAAAGACTGATATTCTGATTGACACAATGAGATATTCTGGAATAAAACAGCAACAGGCCTTGTGCATGCTGAGGTCTGGTTCTTTAAAACGCATCTGGTAATCTAGAGGTTTTCTGCTCTGCAGGGTGAAGTACACTGAATAGGACTGATATGCTTTTTTGTTTGCTTGTTTTCTTGCTGCACTGGAAGAATTTTGAAAAGCGCTGGACACTTGCCATTTCAGGGGAAGTTTAATAAAATTCTCAAATACTTAGAAAAGATCACTTGAAACAATATAAAGTGACCATTGGCAACTTTTCAAATACATTGCCTGCATCTTTTTTAATGTACCTCTATAAAGTTACTGATGAAACAATGAATACTTCTGTAATGGATAGTAAAAGCTTGTTTGAATTGATAGGTTCTGTCAAGCTACATAGATGTTTTTGAAGTCAGGTCTCTAATTTCCACTTTTGTTAGCAGTCTAAATGTTTAAAAAAATGCATCTTATAAATCATATTGTACTATTATGTTAAAAGCTTTTGTGTCATGTTCAACCTTCACACCGTAAAATTACTTTAAAACTAAGCAAC